AAGGTTAGTTTTAATACATAAGTGACTGTGAAGGTTTAGTTTAATCAATAAGTGTACTGAAGGTTAGTTTAATCATAAGTGACTGTTAAGGTTAGTTTAATCACAAGTGACTGTTAAGGTTAATTTAATCATAAGTGACTGTGAAGGTTAGTTTAATCATAAGTGACTGTTAAGGTTAGTTTAATCATAAGTGACTGTTACGGTTAGTTTAATCATAAGTGACTGTTAAGGTTAGTTTAATCATAAGTGACTGTGAAGGTTAGTTTAATCATAAGTGACTGTGAAGGTTAGTTTAATCATAAGTGACTGTGAAGGTTAGTTTAATCATAAGTGACTGTGAAGGGTAGTTTAATCATATGTGACTGTGAAGGTTAGTTTAATCATAAGTGACTGTTAAGGTTAGTTTAATGTTTCCAGCAGTGAATAGAATATTTTTTTCAACTTACGTTATTTTTGAGTTTTTAACATTAAGAAAATGTTATTTACAGTTTTTACCAAAATTTACTTAATTGCTAAAACATTTTAGTTTTTGTTATTTAAAATTTATAGTAAATTAACATGTATAAATATAAAATCCTATTTGTTGCTCCCCTGAATATTAAAATGTGCTTCATTATAAACTCTGTACTGTAATTACAGCCTCATACGTACTTTATGGCTGCAGTTAGTTGTTTGTGTAAAAGTTGTTGGTTTGAGTTTATTTATATGTAAACAGTATCTGTATTTGAAATCTCATAATTTATCTAAAAATGTTTCTATCAAAGAATAAATGAAAATTAGCGAAATTTTAATATATGAGAAATCTGTTGATTTTGTTTTTCGTCATCTAATTTGACTTTTGAAACACTAATAGTACCTTTTATTCAACTATGTTCAGCCAGTGATGGTGAGCAACATAACATCGAGACTTGATACAAAACTCTGGAACCCAGAGAGCTTTGGACAGGAATTTGGTGGGGTTAAAACAGAGTTTGTTGATTGCAACACAGGAAGAATCCTGTCAAATCAATCTCTACGCAAGTTTTGGGATGGATTTGAAAACGTCTCAAGTAAGTAGATGAAAGTGAAATATTCAATGACAGACACCACTGTAACTGAGCAAATTAATGTGTTAAGTTAATGTCATTCATAAAACACTTTTTATAACAGAGATAACTAATGAGTAAAGGTTTATAAAACAGATTGAAAGTGCCAATATGTATAAAGGTGTAGCACTTGATGAATTTATTGAGAATTGTTAGTAAATATACATGAAATGACCTAATAGCTCAGGATTTTCAAACACAAATATTCCATACATTTTAGAACGATTGAAAAGTAAAAATGGAGAGGAAATGGTGTTGAAACTCAAGGACTGGCCACCAGGTGAAAACTTTCGTGAGAATCTTCCATTAAGGTACAAAGACTTGATAAAAGTTCTCCCACTTCCAGAATATACACAGCCTGGAGGGATCTTTAATCTGGTTGACAGACTTCCGGATGACTTTATTCAACCGGATGTAGGGCTTAAAATGTGTAGTGCATATGGTAGGTGTTACTTCCTTGACGTATTTTATTAAATCCATTGATTTAATTGAGTATTTATATTTTCATATAACAACATCAAATCAGTATTAAACTGTTTACTTGTAGAAGTGTATCTTCCTACAGTTAATATTTGTAACTTAATATAACAACATGAAATCAGTATTAAGCTGTTTATTTACTTATTGAAGTGTATACCCTACATTTAATATTGGTTTAGGTTCTACTCATTATTCCACGATTGGAACATCCAATCTCCACTTGGATGTGTGTGACATAGTTAACATCATGATGTACACATCAAATGGTGAAGAAAGCACACAAGGTATCGTAGAGACTTTTATTTACTTTCTCTAATTTTTATCTTTCAAAGGAAAGAATCTGAGTTTTAAAGAATTAACTTCAGGGGTGACATGAGTTTTAGAGAATTAACCTTATTATTATTATTGTGAGTGCTAGAGAATTAACTTTTTTATTATTGTTGTGAATGCTAGAGAATTAACATTATTATTGTTGTGAGTGCTAGAGAATTAACCTTATTATTATTGTTGTGAGGGCTAGAGAATTAACCTTATTATTGTTGTGAGTGCTAGAGAATTAACCTTATTATTGTTGTGAGTGCTAGAGAATTAACCTTATTATTATTGTTGAGAGGGCTAGAGAATTAACCTTATTATTATTGTTGTGAGTGCTAGAGAATTAACCTTACTATTGTTGTTGTGAGTGCTAGAGAATTAACATTATTATTATTGTGAGTGCTAGAGAATTAACATTATTATTATTGTGAGTGCTAGAGAATTAACATTATTATTATTGTGAGTGCTAGAGAATTAATCTTATTATTGTTGTGAGGGCTAGAGAATTAACCTTATTATTGTTGTTGTGAGTGCTAAAGAATTAACCTTATTATCATTGTTGTTGTGAGTGCTAAAGAATTAACATCATTATTATTGTTGTGAGGGCTAGAGAATTAACATTATTATTGTTGTGAGTAATAATAGGTAGGCAATAGGTATAAGCATATGGTTTATTGATGGTGGAACATACTACATGTTTCAACCCCAACATCAAACTTATATCAAGTTTCAAAACAGAGAAATATATTATGTTGACTCAAAACATCTACCTATCAGCAACAAAAACAGTAGAAAGTTTGTTTCATTCCCTTTTGTGCCAGAAATTGCTAATGAAATTACTAGCCTATTTAATAATTTGGGCATTGATGTAAAATCTGTATTGAAACCTTCACATAAAAGTAACACCTTACTACCTAACCTGAAAGAATCCTTATTAAAAGAACAAAAACAAGGATATGCAGTATCCCATCTAAATGTGGAAAGAAAAATATGGGAGAAACGTCATTTTCCTTAGAAATAAGACGTAAAGAACACCAAGGTAACATGCATAGAGGTGAATTTCAGATATCTGCTTTAACATATCATCAATATGAAACAGGTCACAAAATATTTTGGGATGAAATTCTTCTCGTACACTAACCCAAAACTAAAAACAAGACTGTTCAGAAACTATAGAAATAATCAAAACAAACAATTTCTCAGTAAACTGTGATAATGGCTCCAGCAACATCAGCAAGGTCTATTCACCGCCCATACACTTGTCCAGACTTGACCTTTACCTATATTCTGTCACCTGCTTTCACCATCACATTTAATCCTTGTGTCTTTGTACAATATATATAAACCTTGTATTGCTTAGTACTGATCATATCTGAAGAAGACAGACCAATTTTCTGTAGAAACATGTTCCACCATCAATAAAACTTTTATTTTAGCTTATAAATCCTTGTGTCTTTGTACAATATATATAAACCTTGTATTGCTTAGTACTGATCATATCTGAAGAAGACAGACCAATTTTCTGTAGAAACATGTTCCACCATCAATAAAACTTTTATTTATGCTTATAAATCATTGTTTGCCTACTGATTATTATTATTATGTTAGCATAATGTGCTTCCTTACTCAAGTGTTGTGACTACTAGAAAAATAACCTCACGAGGTATGCAAGTGTTAGAGAATTTACTGTTTCCACTAAGCAATTATTATAATGTTTTGTACAATACAAAAAGATATCTGACTACTGAGACAAATGACCAACAGTATCTCTTACTATAAATAAAGTGTTTGTTCTTCATTGTCATTGTTATCATTAACAGACATTCTAGTTTAAACAGTAAGTGAGAGGAAACATACATGGACTCTACTGAAAGACATTTATTAGAATTTCCATCCTTGTCATTGTATTGTTCTATTGACATGTGATAAAATACAGTCAAATTCTTTTTACTGTATTACATGTTGTATTGAAGTAAACTTGTAAGTCATTAGAATTGTGCCTGTAAACAACACATTCAATAGAAAAATATAAGAAGTCCTCCAGCAACTTGTTATATCTGAAAAAATGGAGTTTATGCAAAAATCACTTGTTTACGTGTAGTTGTTGCTTCAAAATATATAGATTTATGTAATATTGTAATGATAAAAATAACATACAAGAAAGTTTGGGGTAGTTTTGCCAGTTAATAAGATGTTTTTATTTATTTCAGTTTGTTTACTGTTAAATGGTCTTTTTTTATGACTCAGATGTTTTGAATGCTATGGAGGAAGGTGGTTGTGATGAAGGGACTCTGTGTCGTGTACGTGATGGAGACATTAAACCAGGTGCAATATGGCATATTTACAGTGATGAAGAAGCTGACAAGATTCGAGACTTCTTGAACAAGGTGATGAGTATATGTATGTGATAATATGTTAGTGAGTTTTAATAGCAACATGTCAAGACTCTGTTTCTTTCTTCTAACAAGAAATTAGTTTTAAAACTCACATTTTCTGATTAATTGTTACTATGACCTTCTTGCTGTGTTTTTTCATGTGCAAATTTATAATATTTAAAAAATTCACAAACAAAAAATCACTTGGCAGTTATAGTTTGGACAATTATTTGAATAAAATTAACCTAGAAAAAATTCAGTATTTTAAGTTATAAAGTGAATAAACTTATTGTTTCACCATTAGAAGGTCAATAATGAGTGATAATTTTAAATTATTAGGTGGCCAAGGATCAGGGAGAAAAAGTGGATAGCCACCACGATCCACTGTTAGAGCAGAACTGGTACTTGAATGGTATGCTGAGGAAACGTCTGTACGCAGAGTATGGGGTTGAGGGGTACACTGTCGTTCAGTGTGTAGGAGATGCAATATTTATCCCTGCAGGATCACCACACCAAGTAAGAGGTCAACTTACCGACCAAGATATTTTAAACTACTTCAATAATGAATGCTATTCATTTCCTGTTTTGTTTCTTGACAGACACAGCATTACACAGTTTAAAATAATTGTTTGGCATAGTCATTACATCTAGCTTTGTTTCTTAATTTTTACTCACTGTAGCTTTGTAGAGTAGTTTCCAGCAAATAATATATTCTTTTAATATCTGAATAAAATTAAGTAAAAAGCCTTTTATTAATTTTTGAGCAATAAGTATTATGAGCCTTTGTTTCACTACTGGATTTGTAATCAACATACATTACATATGTTTTATTGGTTCTTTAACGAGGAAGGGTTCAGTTTGCAGAAATCAGTAAAATACTTTTTCTCTGTGGTTTTCACTTGATAGGTGCAGAACATATACAGCTGTATCACAGTTGTGGAAGACTTTATTTCACCCGAGAGCCTTGCTCGTTGCTTTTATTTGACCCAAGAACTAAGAAACTCTCCTGAAATTTCAACATACCAAGAAGATAGATTACAAGTAAGAAATGTTATTGTTCTTATAAATATTGTACTAAAACAAAAGTAAAGTGTGAGTTTCAGTAAGTTTGTCATTCACACATAATGACTGTTATATTTCAGATAAAGAATGTCATTTATCACACAGTGAAAGATGCTCTGTCTGTTCTTCAAGCTGGAGAAGAAACATAAGAGTTAAAGTCTTTATGGATCAAGAAGATAAAGAAACGTAATAAAGCTTTTCGATGTTTTTTTTTTTTTTCGACATGAAGAAGAAACATAGCATAATAAAACCACAATGTTTCCTCTTTTCAAGATGAAGAAGAAAAAATCAAACCTTTGAGTTTCCACTTTTTTGGATGAGAAATAAAATGAACTTTGATTGATGTTTCCTCTTTTCAAGATGAGAAAGCAACAGAATCAAACCTTTGAGTTTTTAATTTTCTAGTTGAGGAACAAACATTCCTTAAAAGATATGGAAGTGGAAGAGAATTTATTTTTCATCTTTTCTCTGAAAGCTGGACTGTAAGCTACTTTTTGTTTTAATGTTATTTCTGACATATTCTATGAATTCCCACCAGAGACTTCTCTCAGGAAGAAATATGTATTCTCATGAAGTTAAGATTGTTCACTTGAGAAAAACGTGGGAAAAGAACAACTTTTACAAGAGAGTAACTAAGGTGATTGAAATACTTGCTTGAAAACCTGCGGGTATTGTCGTAGTTTGTAGGGAGCATGGTTAAAGGGTTCATTACAGAAAACTATTACAAACATAGAGAATCAAAGTATAGATGAAATAAGACTGTGTAATAGAATTAATGTCCAGAAAGTGTGGAACAAGAAGCATTTGTTCACTATTATCACTAGAGGAATATAAGGTGATAACAATTCTTTTATTAGGTTTCCAAAATCTACTATAAGTTACCCTAAGTTTTGTAATGAATATAAGATATATATAAAAGCAATATTGCTACTTAAACTTTTAGGCATGAGCACAACTTTTATCCTAAGGTCTTGTGCTTATAGATATGCTCTGATGATTTATTGTAACAGTCAGTCACTTGTAAGAAATATAACACATTAAATAGCTTTTCATTGGTATTAAAAGTAAACAAGATGTAAGCATTTACCTTATTCGTGGTAGTGAATGTGTTGTACAATTAATTTTTGTGTCATTTTCAAAATGTTTTAAGGTAGTTGTTAAAGAAAGTACTTCATTATCTACAATTTTCTGTCAGCCGTTACAACCTATTTTAAAGTTGATGTTAAAAAGTCCTTCATTTGAAGATTCATGAGCATGTTTTACTTGTTTACAATTTTCTGTGAGTCTGTTCAGCCGTTACAACCTATTTTAAAGTTGATGTTAAAAAGTCCTTCATTTGAAGATTCATTGTTAGTATGTTTTACTTGTTTCTGTTCAGTATTTTTAGCAGAAAGTGAATTTTAAAAAGGAACATTTGTTAACTTTGCTCTGGTTTGACAGAAAACGCATGTAACCAGCCTGTGCTTGTGCCTTTGTGACCTCCTTTGATATAGTGCAATATTGCTTTTTAGAAATCCACAACAATCTGTATTGTCATTCTTGTGTAATTACTGGAGTACACACAGTGTAAACTTGCTAAAACCTAATTCAAACTTTTAGTTGTCTTGACAGGAAGCTTTACAATGTTGTATGTTTGAAATCTTCTGGGTTTGAATTATTTGGTTTAACAACACTATTGTAATGTACCAGTTTCTTCTTTGTCAGTCACGTTTGTATCAAAATTAGGACTGTGATGATAAATATATCCTACTTATTGCCTGTTTCCTATCTGTGATATTACCTACCCAGAAAAAAACTTGGCAGTGTCGTACATGATTATGAAATGTCATCCATACAGGTGTTTTGTAAAACGAGTTATTGTTGAAATTGTAAATAGGGTATACATATATTGTTGCAAGTATCAGAGCTGTTTCTTTGCAAAATTTTAGTTATGTAATTGTACACAAACAATCCAGAATAGAGTTGTGTAGATTGTACTTTGATTCTGCACAGATTATTCCCAAGTACTTTTTCTCTCTCTTCACTAATAAAGAGTGGAAGAAATCAGTTGGTTTAATTACAAGTACATTGGCTTGTTGCTTTGTAGTAGATGTATGTATTTCTTGAAGGATGTACCTATTTTAGCTTTTGGCTCAAGATTGCACAGCTAGGGTAAATATGGCCCCAACCTGTGTCACTATTGTATATATATATATCACTCAGTTTTTATCATAAGATTAACATGTGTCACCCCAAATTAGGATTAGTTTACAGTTTAACAATGTACATAATTACTAAGAAGTATTTTTGTATATCATAATGTATTCACACAGACTTGGTGGTGTAACCCATGTTTGTTGAAGAGGATGTTGTGGCTAGTACTGACTGTGTACTCAAACTATGAGCTTACAGAATTATAATGTTTTTCTGAATATCAAATGTATCATCAGTCTGTTGAATTACCATATGTTTTGAACACAAACATGGACACCATAAAACTGTTCAGTTTGAAATACTAAAAGGACACTTAAAACTTTAATTAACCTACATAAAATACTAGTGTATTTGTCATCCTAGACTTAAAACTTTCCAGTTTGATTTTAATTTTACAGAAACACCCATAAAATTACCAAAGAAAGTTTAAGTTGTTAAGTCATTTTTAGTTTACAAAGAAATATGAAGTTATTGGTGAGATCTTTGTGGTTATGAATTGTTCTCTACTGGGTAACCCGAAGGTTTAAGGACTGACAATGATAAAATCTGGAGTCCGATACCCCCTGGTGGACAGAGCACAGATAGTCTGTATTCTTTTCAGTATATTCTTAATGCAATAAATTATTCTGAGAAGTTCAGTAAATTGTGATTAACATGCGTAGAAAGCACATGTTTTCTTCTATCACTCAATGTGTTTTAATTCAAATATATCACCTTCTAAGCTGGTTCAGTTAATGGGAAAAAACTTAATAGTCTGCAACTATTTTAAATGTAACTAATTATGTAGAAACCATAGCATTACGTATACAATTTTAATGACCAATCATTACCTTTAGGATAAAGCAGATGGCAGAATCTCCATCAGTAGCAGGACGTAATCCTTCTTACAAACAGTTACGATTAGACTCGCAGTGATTAGAAACAAGATAAATATTGTTACAGAAGGTTCTGGTCTGTACTATAAACAGCAAGGATATGATAGAAAGTCTAAATAAACGTGATGTATATCCAGCAATAAGAGGATGATGCTACAGTGGCCATCCATATGAGAAATATCAAGACACTTAGGTATCAATGATGTGTTTCACTCATGTACAGGGTTGTGACAAATCTGTATTACAAACGTATGTCACCACCATGACCTTCTTACAAAGCTACTACATTAATTACTGGTTTGTCTGTATTACAAACGTATGTCACCACCATGACCTTCTTACAAAGCTACTACATTAATTACTGGTTTGTGTGTATTACAAACATATGTCACCACACAACCTTCTTACAAAGCTACTACATTAATTACTGGTTTGTCTGTCAATATTACAAACGTATGTCACCACCATGACCTTCTTACAAAGTTACTACATTAATTACTGGTTTGTCTGTATCACAAACGTATGTCACCACCATGACCTTCTTACAAAGCTACTACATTAATTACTGGTTTGTGTGTATTACAAACATATGTCACCACACAGCCTTCTTACAAAGCTACTACATTAATTACTGGTTTGTCTGTCAATATTACAAACGT